GAGCAATGGAACAGCAGAGGTGCTTGCACTTGTAGCGTTTGTTTTTGTAATCACACTTGGCCACACTTACCTGGTGACAGCTCCTCGGTAATCCCTTGAATAGTGCGCGTGAACAGTGTCAACATGAGGACGATGGCAAGCAGCAGCCATTGACGTTGCTGCCACACATTGTGTGGCATATGCTGCAGTTGCTGCTGCTGCTGCTGCTGCTTCTGCTGCTGCTGTTGCGCCTGTCGAGTGCGAGTTGTTTGCATTGCTCCTGTCACTGTTTGCGCTCTTTAATGTGTATATCGATGTGTGCGTGCGTGTCCTTGAGCTGCAAAGAGAAAGCAGACAGACAGAAGATGACAAGGCTGCCGAATGAACATTGTTAAAGAAGCAATCACGCCCTTGCTATTAGCCAAAAGTCCGCCAACCTCCTCATTGTCAACTTGTGCTCAACATTTGTTGGGCAATTTGCCGCGCGAAATGAAGTCGAGCCATTAATATTTTCAGCGCTGACTATTGACAGCAGCGTCGTCTCTGTCATACACAAAACAACAAGAATGAAAGAAAATCAGTCGTGCCACGCCCACGCGCTCAGCTATCATTCACAGTGGCCCGTGCGCCGCAAAGTATGCAACGTCATGCGGTGCGCTGCGTTTCATCATGAGAGCGAAAAGCAGTCAAAGCCTTAGCCTGGGTCTGGGCCTGGGCCTCGGCCTGTGCCATGGGCAGCCGGGCAACTGGCAACTGGCAACATCACCGTTAGCCATGCTCGTGGGCGCGCCGAGGCTACACGTCAAACACATTCATCACGAGTGCCAGAGTGACAGATGGCAAATGCGCCTACAGCTCGTTTGTTGCCCGATCTGCAAAGGCCAGAGCCAGAGCCAGAGCCCGAGCCAGAGCCAGAGTCGTCGCAAGGGCAAAAGGACAAATGAAAATTTTCCAATTATTGCAGACACTCGTTGAACTCTCGCCTCAGTCTCAGCAACAGCAGCAGCAGCAGCAGCAGCCGCAGCAGCGTAAATTTAACGCTTTAAACTGCGTGCGAGCCGAACGCAAATCATTTGTCAACGCTTAGAGATCTGACCAAGCTCTGCTAACGAATTTGCAGCTCGCCAGGCTCCGCTTGCCCCATTGCCAGCTCTCGGGACTCAGGACTCAGTGACGCGGCAGTTGATCAAAAACGCATTTGGAGTATGCGTCAGCGGCAGCAGGCACGAATTTAATAAACGTAATGTGTGGCCACATGTGCGAGTGACATGATTTGGCATTATCCTGCATACGCTATGCGAGAGTCAAACATATTGCCAAGCGGCGACGGGTCAGGCTGCGATTTTGATAAATTTATTTTAGAATTTCGCTTTTCACACACACACACACAGGCGGTCTCTCAGCATATGCTGTGTAATTACATATATGTATGTTAGCTAACTTCTAGAGCGCATATTGATTGAATTTCAGCTTGGGCCAGAGTTGGGCTTCAGCATATGCTTTATCATAAAGGCCACTTTCAATTTCACAAACTACTCGAAACTTTCGCTAATATCGAATGTTAAGCGCTGCTTTGTTCAGCAGCTCTAAAGCCACACATGTGTGCGTGTGTGTGTGTGGCAAGTTTTACGAGCGCCTGTTAACCGCGGGTATTTACACTAAGTCTAATGAAATGTTTAACAAGCACTTTGCTCTGCGCAAATCCCAATGACCCATAATATTAGCATAAAATCACTTGGCTGGCTTGTTGGGGCACCGCCTTGCCTAGCCTCATAAATAGTTGGCGTCCCTCTGTGTGAGTGTGTGTGTGTGTATAACTACTTGCTTAGTCTGCTGGCGTGGCACGATACGCTGGAGGGTCTTAAGCAAAATGTACATTTAAATTGCGCACTTTAAAGTTTTAGCAGGAGCGTGAAAGGCTTAACGAAGCGATACACGAACATATACATATATATATAAGTATAAGTGTGTATATAGATTTCAGGTCTATGCTTCGACTTGTCGGGCTGTTCTCCCAATTTTGGGCGCATAAATTTTTATGTTGGCCATACTTTATTTGCTGCTGGGCGCACGGGGCCCACTGGGCGCTGTTTGTTTCCACAAAATAAATTACATTAAAATTCTAAGCCATCAGCGCGCGCTGTGGAAAATTTATTTTTGCACATTATCCGCTTGCCGCAAATTGTATTTGTTCCGCAACGCTCGCAGCGCTCGGCCAGCAAAATAACAAAAAATAAAACAGGAAAACACAAAAAATTAAATATATAAAAATAAACAAAATAACAACAACAGCTGCTGACGTTTTAGTGGCACTCTCAATTGCTCTGGTTGCTGTTGTTGTTGTTGTTGTTGTTGTTGTTGCTGTTGTTGTCCGTTGACCAAAGCTGTAAAGTATCCTTCAAGGCAATTAGTTTATTTGTACAATTTCATTTCATTTCATTTAGGCTGCTGGAATTTTAATGCGTTTCATTAAGTTTCTCCGTAAATTTTACATTTTATATATGTATATATGAATCAGGCATGCCCTCACACACACACACAGTGCCTGCCAAAAGCTGACCAACAACAATTACTTAAGTTTGGACATGCTGCAAATTACAAAGTTTTTATGTACCATACCTAAGTCAACTCGGGGCTTTAAGGCAATGTGCCGTATGTTAGCGGTACTGAATGCATTAAAATGTTTTAGCCAACAAATTAATGTACAATGCGAACAGCAATAGAAGCGGAAGAGCATGAATTCCTTCTCTAGAAATTTAGACTCCAGAAGAATTATATTATTAAGAAAAGCCTAACACAAATCTACAATGGGCATTAATATAAAAATTTTAATAATAATTAAAAAAAATTTTAAATGTAAAAAATATGTAAGCCAAAATATATAGCAATAAATTAATTTATATTCGTACATAAATAAAAATAAATTAATAAATAAATAATAAAATGAAGATAAAACAAATTAATTTCATTTTTATGGCAAGTTAATGTTTATAATGTGATGAAATTCATTTTCATTAGAGCTATTTAAAATCCCATATAATGAATATTTGATGTCTTACATGCTTTATAAAAAAAAAAATAAATAAAAAAATATGTCCCTCAACATTCTTTTATAGATCTACATCAGGGCTTTAAAGTCATAAAAACTTATTATTAATATTATATATAAAATACATATGGATATTTAATATCAAATTATATATTTTTAATATATAATAAATAATAAATATAAAAATATTAATAAATACATATATATTTATATATTTTTTTTTAATTTAATCATTGCCATTTAATTATTATTTTGTTTAATAAGCATATACATATATGTGTGTTACAATTTTTATTTAAAGCATTTATTTTCTTTCTCTTGATTTGTAAGAAGTAAATAAAAGTTTACCCTAATATAAAACTTTTGCTAACTGACGTTCGTATAGATGCCTTACATTTCTTCAACAAGAATGTTATTCATACTTTGTACCAGCGAATACACACATACACACACCCACACACATGCGCTCACACACACACATGGAGGGAATATTTTTGCATGATTTGCAGCGAGTTTTCGATGGAAATTCATTTAATAACAATATGAGACTTACTCGAATGCAATTCTCAATAGTATATTTGAATATAATGAGCTCTTAAAGACTCGGGCAACGCATTTTTTCAGCAATGTTTTGGAAGTGACAGCAAAAAAATGTAAACACAATATCGTATGATACACAAATAGAAAATCCACAAAGAGACGCGTTGAGCGCGCCGAGCGTCTCTCTGGGCGCTGGGTCCGGGCGAGGAGGACCGATTCGAGCACTGCAAACACTTTTAGCCAGGGTTTTTCATAGTTCACGCATGCAGCAAGAGCTGAGGTTCAATTATTTTGCAATTTCCCAAGGTTTTCGTGGGATTTAGCCTACAATTAATATGCACGAAAAATTCACAACCGCACTAATTTCGTTGACAGACAGAGAAGTCAGAGAATTGCGCTCTCAGTGGCGTTCCATTCCGTGCCATTCCGCTGCGTTTCGCCTGGCGCGAGAGCACGAGAGCGCAACGCAGCTGTTCCTAGGCGAATGTCCTGGGACGCAACGTCCTGCCGGGGGTGGGTAGCGGTATTTGCCAACTGTCAAACTGACAGCTGACCTGAGGGCTTGTGTATATGTGTGAGTGCGCAGGCGCTGCTCTCGCATCCTGTTCCATTTGCCACTCGTTGCTACTGCTGTCAAGGGTTGCTCCTGCCTGCCTGCCTGCCTCCCACCCCGGGCCAAACTTCTTCGATACCGACAATTACCTGGAGAATTGGCATTAGCCCATTTTCGTTGCGTTATAAATTGCGATTGTCACTTTGGAGCATTTGAGCGCAGACCGTATGCTGGTGGTGCGACGACTGCTGCTGATGGGATCGGTGGTGCGACGCTGCTCTAACTCCGACTCCTGCTGCTGCTGCACATTTGGCCTGCAGGGCGTCTGTTGGTGTCTGCTGGTGCTGCTGTGACTTTCATTTCGTTCGATTACCAGAGCACACACACTCAGCCACCTACCCACCCCTCTTCGCCTCTCTCTCTTTCTGTCGCTTATGGCCCTTCTACGCTGCTTATGCAATTACATTTAAGTTTTGGTGCGCCAGCCATCTGGAGCAGGCGGGGGGCGGAGCAGACGCTGCCTTGCCTGTGACATGGAATTAATTTTCGATTTTATTGTCAGTTTGTCAACTGCTTAGTCGAAGATGCCAATGCGTCTGACTTTGATTTAATTGAAAATGCATGAATATGCAATTTTTAGCAGCTCGAAGCTCGTAAAAGCCAACTTTTATTGCCCGGCTCATGGAAACGTCGGGGCACTCAAAATATTATGTTGATGATATGCTCGGAGAGGTCAACTTACCCTTGATCCACCTGACTTGACATTGTTCATCGATATTTCCCCCTCCCCACCTACTCACAAGCAATACGTATTCACATTGAAACATACACGCGCATTATTTTATTATTTCCAATAAATAAATAAATAAATGTGTAGACATTTTATATATTTTTATATGAGTCTTTCAAACACCGTCACTACACCGCTACACCACCAGCATGTGGGAGAAGTTTGTAAAGTGCCTGGGCAAGGGCAAGGGCAAGAAGGATAAGGGCTGCGGCATCGAGCTCGCCGAGCTATACAAGCGAGTGCCGCCCAATCAGCGCAAGCAGTTTAAGGCCTTTGCCAAGCTGACCAACGAATACAAAGCGTAAGTGCAGTTAGATGATCCAGAGACTATCCCTTACTCCTTTACGCCAAGTCTTGCAATTCTCTTTACAGTCGCGTTGACAAATATCCAGCTGAATTGCCCAAAATCGATTGGCCATATTACAAGGAGAACGTGCGCAAGGAGATGGTCAGCTGGGTGGATGACTTCCAAAAGAAGTATGAGCAGCTGGACAACATGATCACCAATCGGCATTCGCTGATTGACCACTCCAAGTACTTTGGAGAGTCTGAGGAGATCACCAAGTGTGTGGAGCAGGAGGTCAAGAAGTACAAGGAGGAATCGAATAAGCGCATCGCGGAGCTGCAGAAGAAAATGGAGCATTTGAAGGGCCTGAAGCCGTATGTAGAAATGACAATGGAGGAGTTTTGTCTGGCGCATCCCAACGAGGCGCCCGACTTTATAAACAAGCCCACGTTTTGGCCGCACACGCCCGAAGAACAGAAGCCCGGACCATCCGAGGAAGTATCTCACGACGAGGAGGAGGGAGAGGCGCACGCGAAACCAAAAGATAAGCCAGATCCCTCAAAGACGCCACCAAAGACACCGCCAAAGACACCACCCACCGGAGCCGCGCCAGCTGGCAAAACTGATGCTAAAGCAGCGGCTAAAAAGGATGCCCCAAAGAAGGATGCCCCAAAGGACGACCCGAAGAAGACCGAGCCCGCTGCTAGTCCGCCAAAGAAGGAGGAGAAGAAGGAGAAAGCAGCCGTGGTTAAAACTACCGAAGTAAGGGCGACTCAGCCCAAAGCGGAGAGTCAGACCGAGAGCCAGGCGGTCGAGAGTGCCGCAGTAATGGCCTCCGAGGGCATCGAGCTGGTCAAGACGATGATAGGCAAAGCCATTGCTCTGTTCAAGACGGCCGTGTCGAAGATGGGGGAGAAGCGGCAACAGGTCACAGAGACGGCGGCTGCCGAGCGATTGAAGGCCAAAGCTGCTGTGGCTGCCAAGAGAGCAGAGAGGGCCAGAGATGTGGACGAGGATGTCTTCAAACGGGAGACTCGCTCCGACATATGCAACAAGACCATAATTCGCGGGGAGGACACAGCAGAGGCGGACGTCAAGCCGCATCATGTGGACCTGGACATTGAGTCGGATACGGAAGAGGACAAGTTCGCCAAGGAGATGAAAAAGAAGCAAATGAAAAAGCACAAGGAGTGCATTCGCAAATGCGTCGAGGCCGAGGACGAGTGTGAAGAGAAGAGGGCGAGCTGCTCGGAGCCGAAGCGAGAGCGTGCCTCGTCATGCGACGACAGGCAGGAAGAGTACGACAAGTGCAAGAAGCCGCCGAAGAAAGATCCGTGCGGTCCCAGACCTTCGAGCTGCGATGCATCCAATGTCAGTGAACAGATGAAAATGCTGAATGTGAAGCAGGAATACTTTAAGCCGGATACACCCGATCAGGACCAGGAGCGTCGCAGAGCTCACGCCTCACTGCTGGAGGAGCCGAAGAAATCAGCTATAAAGAAACCGAACGTCATGGTCATGGATGAGAGTAAGGGCATCAAGACGAATGTGGAAACTGTGGACCCCATGAAAATCAAGCCCGTGCAGGGAGTGATGGCTGCATCGCGCACGGACATGCAGCAGGAAATGGTCTGTGCCCGCAACGAGGGCGACGACTCGGTCAAAATAAATGCCGAGAGGGTGGCCAAATTCGTGTTCGAGATGGCCACCGGCACCGCCTCCCTGCTGTCGGAGGCCAAGAACATTATCGAGAAGGCCCAGCAGGAGCAGGGCCAGGGCGTCGATGTGGAGGCTGCCTACCTGGAGGCCGAGGCCAAGGTAACTGCCGCCCTGAATCACGCCCACATGGCCCTCGACTCGGCCAAGGGGCTGGCCAAGCAGGCCAGCGTGGGCGACCAGGAGGCCATTGCGCTGATCGAGAAGCACGCGATGCTCGCCCAGCTGCTGGCCTATCGCGCCATCACCATGAAGAAGGAGATCGCCAAGCTGCTGGCGGATCTGCGTGGCGTTTAGCGATTTTCCCTCAATTTTCCAGTTGCATTTCAGATTCGTAACTCAGCTTTGTTGTTCGAACCGAGTTTTCATTAAATTTACTGTTGGGTTAAAGGGCGTGTTTTTTGGGGTGGTGCATGGGTGGGTGTGTGGGTGGTTGTTGCTGCGATAGATGGTGTGTGCTACATATGCAAATTTTAGGTAAAGCTCAGGCCCTGCGCTATAAATTCTGGTGCAAAAAGCTAAGCGAAATATCGAAACTTTTGCTCGAGTGGCCGAAACTTTGCGGTGAATTAGCCAAAAATTTCACTTGCCCTACTATGTGTGTGTGTGGGTGTGCGCGTGGGGGGGGGGCTACACCCCCGTTAGATTGCATAATTATGCAAATGTGTTGTTTTTCGGCATTCAAAGTGGCGCATTTGGAAAGTGTTGGCTACTTGTTGGCGCTGGCGCACACAATTTTCACAATCAAACGCATTTGCATAATTATACAAAGCACACTCGCCATCCCACTCCCACGCGCCCACTTCCCTGCCCCATCTCTCCCTCTCTATCTCTCTCTCTCATTCTGTTTGCTTTTAATTCAAGTTAGATAGAGTTGGCTATAAGCTTTAAGCTGTCTAATGCCCCCCCTACTGCCACGCCCTGCAAAATCCGCCGCATTGTTTCTATTCACCATTTTGTATTCTTATTTGTGCACAAAAGTTGTTGGGCTTTTAAGCAGCCATATAAATTCAATTTGGCCAACTTCACGCAGCCAGCCTGAAGTTACCTGAATTTCCATTTGGACCTAATCGATTTCATAGGTGACAAAAACATGCTGCCAAGGCAGAGAGTTAATATTTAGATTTTCTGACAATTCTCGTTTTGCATAATGGAGTGGGAGGGAGTGGGAGTGGCCTTTGTGTTGGCTGTAGGCTGTTAAGGGATTATTCATGGAATTGTTTAAAGCATATCGTTAACATAATGCCAGCCAATATTCAATGGCCCCCCCGCCCCCCACAAGCCACTTGGCAGCCAGACACTGTGGACACCCAGCGCCAATTGTGACTGGCAGCCAATGCCAAAAATTGTTTGGCCCGAGTTTTTGGTTTTGTCTTTGGCTTCGGCTTCGGCCATGGCTTTATGGCTTCGGTTGACAATGGCCCGTTGTGTCTTGGAAATATAAAATATGGCCATCATGTTTATTGTTTTCTCTATATCTCAGACAGGCGGCATGTTGCAAAGTTGCAAGTTGCAAGTCGCTAGTCGCTTGTCGCTTGTCTCTGGCAATTTTCAATTGATATAGTTTCCCTTTTTTTTTTTTTTGGCAACTTGTTGTGGCATGCCCCGAGTTGAGTTCAGTTTGTTTTTTGGCAGTAGTCCAGGCATAATTAAAAGCTCTCGCATTTTGCGAATTCTCCATTGTTTATCGCGCGTACATGCATCCCGTTATTAGCCACTACCTGGGGTAAGTGCCGCGTTTTTAGTGGCTCATTTGTGGCAAGTTGTTGGCTGGCATTGCTCGCATAATTTGGCCAGCTAGTTGCGTGTGCGCCATTGTGGCCCTTTGTGCCTGATTAACGTTTTTATGGCTGCGCAAATATTTGAGCCAGTTTTTAATGGCCCAGTTCGGTGCGCCGAGCTATGCCGCGGCAAGGCCTAATTAGCAGCATTTAACTAAGCCTCACGGCCTCGCTCTGTGTGTGTGCTTTTAATGCGACGTGATCGTGGTTATTAAAACAACAAAGCCCATATAGCCCATACGGCCAACCTGAGAGGGCGCCACACACACACACACACACATGTGTGTGTTGCATACCCTGCTGCCATTGCGATATCATTGCCAAGGGCATTAGCACATGAGCCGATTGTATGTGACTGTGCTGGGAAAAGTTGATTAGGCTGCTGCAAGCATTAAAGATTTAAGCAGAGTTACTTATGCTGCTGCTCGCTCTGTTCTCTAAGCATTCATGCATAGCTGAGCTTATAGTTTAGCTGTCATTAAAAGACAGAGAGAGAGAGAGAGAGAGAGAGAGAGTGAGAGAGTGAGAGTGCGAGGGAGTAAGCGCTGCGAGCTCTACTTAGACTCGGCTCTCGTATTTATCACAGATGGGAATGCGATGGATGTTGCTCTCTGAGGTATTTCCGAAGAGCGATGCTCGATGTAAAACCTATAACAGCTTCAAGACTCTGCTGAAAATGAGATTTGCCTATACTTTGAGTAGTGTGAACAAAGAAGCACTTTGATTTAGTCGAATGAAAACAGAAGCACTTTGAATATTGTTAATGGCTCTCGTAAGTCTCAGAGTTGGGAATGCGATGGATGTTGCTCTCTGAATCTGTTTTGTCTCTGGCAAGGTCTGAAGTAACATATATACATATATATCAGCTGCAAGACTGTATAGTCTCTGATCCAAGAAATTAAAGTAATTCGAGTTCCAAGTCGTTTCCTAATCATCTGAAGACCAAAATTGAATCATAGAGGATTTATGAATTAGCCGAGTCTCAATGCAGGCCTCAGACTTTGCTCTCTGACTCGAGATTCGTAGTCCAATTCCAACTCTAATGTCAATTCCAACTCCAACTCCTTCACCTTTTGCTCATGCAACACTCACGCTTTCTGCAGGTATTTGCCAGTCGGTCAATCTTCAGTGCAAACCCACTCTGGCTTGTAGTTCTAGTTGTCGCTGCTGTTGTTGTTGTTGTTGTTGTAGCTGCTGGCTGCCAGCAAAATGTAAATTTTCGCTGAGTAGCTCGACAGGCGCCACTGGCGGCCCATTGCTTACACGTTGTCCGCGCAGCATGGTGCCAGTTACAGTGGCAGAGGCAGTGGCAGTGGCAGAGGCAGCTTGATTAGTACAGGCTGCTGTGCTGGCGTTGTCCCTGCTCAGGCATAGGTAAAGGCAATAGGAGAGGCAAAGGCAAAGGCAGAGGCAGCTCGGCCGCAACCCACCGCAACACACTTAACGACGTAGTTAGCGTTAGTTAACGTATGTACGTGATATCGTTAAACTGGTATAACGTAACCAGAGCTCCGCAGCATAATAAGTGTCTTATTAGTTATGCCAGGAGCAGCAGCAGCAGGAGCAGGAGCAGGAGCAGCAGCATGAGCAGGAATAGCAGCAGCAGATACTGCGATTATTTCTGTTGCAGCTGGAGCTAGTGAAGCCTGGCATCACGTGCCGCACTGGAATCAGAATTTGCCTGTGCCCAGTGCGAATTTGAATGGAACATTGTATTGACACAGGCCGATGGCGTCTTGAATGACAAATTGAATATTGGGCAGACGTTGGATATGATTGCAGATTGTTGGAGTTATGGAGGCGAGTGATAGACAGCGAGAGAGTGAGGGAGAGTGAGGGAGAGAGAGAGAGCGTAGCCGAGTATCTGAGCATCGGGCAGCACTTCAATTAGCCAATTGATGGGCGTCAATGGCTTTTAATTAATTCAGGGCAAATATTGCGCAACAACAATTGAAAGTTTTTTATTTGCGTTTTTTGAGCTGGCAAGCGAAGCCAAACGAAGTCCAAAACAAACAAAACAAACAGAACAACACGCGCTGAAATCTATTTGCACAGTTAAGGGCCAGAATGCGGATCCAAAGATGAAGTTGAGATTAACGCGCGGGGCCAGCGAAATGAAAATTAAATTCCAAACAGCCCTCGGGCGGTGCCAAGTGGTTGGTGGAATGGGTCAGGTAACGGGGCTGCTGCCGCTGCTGCTGCTGCTGTTGCTGCTGCTGCCGGCCTGGGTCCAGTCTCAGGTAATCGCAAACGTGTAGTATTTACTTTTAGCGTTGCTTGTTTATTTTTTAATTTCCTTCCAATTAAGCAACGAACAAGCCGCGCTGGCCACCCGCACCACCAGCAGCTGCTGACGTTGGCAATAAAAATGCGCAGGATTCGAGGAAAACGAAACGGAATGAAATCTATTCACAGTTACGTAAAAGTAAAACGTAATGAAAACACGTTGGCACAATTCATTTAAAGTCTACATGGAAGCAGCAGAACCTAAATTATTTGCCATGCCAGCAGCAGCCGAAGGAGGCGACAGGAGATGGCTGGAGGCGAGCGAAGGATGTGGGGCGAGCAGGGCCGCAGGACACGGGACACAGGACACAGCTGTATGCTTTTAGGCGCATTTGTGGTTAATTTCCATACGCACGACTTGCGGCTCTGCCAGGGCGAAAGAGTCCGATCCCTTCACTGTCCCAGCGGCCTCATTACTTATGCACAACTTGTACGCACAAATAATACATGTCAAACGAGTGCGAGTCAAAGTGACTTGCGGCTGTCGTCTCGGCCCCGGCCCCGGCCCCGGGCCATGGATACCCAGATCACAGTTATACCAGTGCCAAGGAACGCCGCAACTGGGTCGGAGCTATGCCTAAGGATATAGATGTGCATGTATATGTATGTGTATGGGTATGTATGTATATAGTATGGGTATGTTTATGTGCTATAGTGCTATAGTCAGCGCACAGTGAGCTTTACGACAGTTTCGACAATTAGCCAGGAACATTCTGCTTTATATGAGATAGAGAGATAGAGAGAGAGAGAGAGAGAGAGAGAGAGAGAGAGAGAGAGAG